TATTAGATACAGCCCACCTAATAAATAAAGGCAATTCTAACGAAATCATAAGGTGGTCTGTACGTTATACAGCCCACCTGACTAGATTTGTAATACTTGTTTGGAACAAGTATAGGTGGGCTGATCCAACAAAATTGAGACAAAATAAAGGGTACATTTGAGATAGCTTTTTGTCTCAGCTACAACATACTCGAAGTTCAGCGTAAATGAAGCTAAAACGACGTAGATATTGCTCGCGAAAGACGGGAATGTAGAATCGAGTTTTGAGAAAAAATCATGTCCCATAGAGAATACACGCAAAATGTGAAAATTGACATGCCTCCTTTAATCACAAAAATACGCCATGATGCTTTTGTCAAAATTAACAATTGTGAAGACTTCATTTGTAGAAAATTGTCTCAGCTAGAACATTTCAAAATTTGGAAGAAAATCAATCACTATTTACAGAGATACAATCAATTTTCCATAAATATGCTGACGTCAAAATATGCAAATTGGAATTTTGAGTTTGGAGGCCATTATGATGACGTCATGAGTTAATTGAAGGTCAAATGTGACATGAAACAATATCTCCGAATCATACTCTATCTAAATATGAAAAAAAATTGGGGTCACCTTGCATCCTAAAGAGCTACAATGGATTTTGTATAGGCATGTTTTTGCCCATATATGCTATGTATTACAAGAGCTCGCGCGCACGGAGATTTATGTTAAACGGTCGATCATTCCGTTATTAATAGTCATAAAGATACAAACATGGTATCAATTTGTTTGTAAATATATGTGGAATATTATAAAAGAAAACAAATGGCGAATCTATGTTGTGTAATACTCTTACGTGCGAAAATGGCCTAAAACGTATGCAAAATGATTTTGAGACGATTTTGAGCATTTAAAAATTTTGCGCGCGCATTGACGCGCGAATGTGCTGACGTACGCGCACGCGCGCGTTATTTGACCTGAAATTGACCGGACGGATATTGACCTTGATCATGATAAATATGAATGAGAAATATCTTTTGGTTATGAAGATATGATCATGAGTTGATTTTCGTAAAATTTTACAAAATGGCGCCTAGATGACGTCATCAGTGAAGGTCAATGTTGAAAACGTTATTGTGCTTTGTACATATGCCTATACATATGTGTGCCAAATTTCAAGGCATTTGATTGAGCCATTTCCAAGTTATCTTGCCAACAAAAAAGTGGTTAGAAATAAGAAAAATATATAATAAATAAATAAATAAATAATAAAGGCAATTTTAACAAAATTATAAGGTGGTCTGTACGTTATACAGCCCACCTGATAATAAATAAATAATAATAATAAAGGCAATTTTAACGAAATTATAAGGTGGTCTGTATTAGATACGATACAGACCACCTAATAAGCAAAATATTGAAAAATATTGTTGTCTCGTTGTTCATTATACTTATATGTGTACCAATTTTCATACAACCATAGCCGAGATCTTAGGGGGGTTCATAATGCCCCCCCCCCCCCCCCCCCCGGTATTAGAAACCCTTGAAATACCCAAGCCTCATTAGCGCTATAAGTGTTTATATATCAATAAATTTATGTGATTTTTACAACTTTATAGCCCATTTGACTTTTCACGTTTAACCCCAAAATCTAATCACTTGATCCTTGGGTGATTCTTGCTGACTGTCTCCTTTTCTGTCCATGTGCTTGCATACCACATAGATGAGGGGAAGGGTGTATGTAGAGGGGGTTCCCCTCCCACGTAAGGGACTCTTTTAATTAAATTAACTTAAATTATGGTTTAGCGCAATGAACAAATAGGAATTGAATGTTACCTTTTTAAATAATTAAACAAAATAGGGTTGACGGGAGGAGCATCCTTCAAAATGAAGGGGGCACTAACAAAAAAAGGGCTACCTACAGAAAGCGAAAACAAGGTAGACTGGGTAACCGGGTCCTGCCCGAAAGCCTCGGGTCCAGGGTCAAAAAATTAGGTAAATGTTTCCCGAAATTGGATGGCGATGAAAAATAAGCCCCTTAAAAGTTAAGTTTGTTAGCAATGAAATAAATCAACACATGAGTACCTTGGCACAGATTGGTATATTATTCCATTTGATATTATGTTCATAATATATGTGTTTGGCAATATTAGGTACTATTATTAACCGTATCAGACATCTGAGCAGGGCAATTTTTAAATGTTATTGCCCTCAAGGTTTGATGGATAAGCCAACAAAATTACAATATTTTAGCCCGCTCAGAAAAGTTAATGGGATTTTGTGTTATTTGCCGGGCAATATGGTTATACAGTAAACCAATGGACAAATATTTTAGCCCGCTCAGAAAAGTCAATGGGATTTGTGTGCAATTTGCCGGGCAATATGGTTATACAGTAAACCAATGAACAAATATTTTAGCCCGCTCTGAAAAGTCAATGGCAAAATGCGTGTTAAACTAGTGAGCAATAATATAGAGCCAGTTGTAATTTACATCGCGCATCAGCTACTGTAATCTACATCGCGCATCGTGTATAAGAACATGCGCACTTTGCACGAACTCTATTGTGACGTAACAATCACACCCAAGGCAAACTGTTTCAGTGTATCGAAAATCTGTCAAACACTGGATGAACAATGCTGGTTTGACAATGTTTTTGCAACTTCTAATGCTAGGAAACCCTGTATAGCCTACATAATTTAAGAGTATAAGGTAGTAAGAGTTTCTTGTTTGCTCTAGATGTCTGATGTGGTTAATAATAGTAATATTGACTGCCTAATTCAGGGCAATACGACTTGTCATATATCACCCTCACCTTCGGTTCGGGCGATATATGTCGTATTGCCCAGAAGGCAGACAATATTACTTAAATATCATGCCTCTAAATGTTGAAATCTGAAGTAAAATTAGAATTAGAATATGCGAGCCACCATTCTGAATTATTCAGGATGAAAGAATCATGCTAAAAAACAATGTTGGAATTACAAAAAAGGCTTTCTAAAAATTCTTTTTCTAATCAAATACATTTTTAAAGACTATTTGTTTTCTTCTTATTCTAAACACTGCATGCTTCGTTGAATAGCTGATGTAGACATAACAAGTTCCATTATTTATCACTTCGTCGCCTGGCTGGCAGAAGGGCGTTAGCTAGATTTTTCAGGTAAAAAATGAAGCGCTAAGCAGAAGGGCGTTAGCACTAAATCACCTCAAACTTTTATAAAACTGTTATTTCCAAAAAAAATTGGGTCTGTGTTCTTTTATAACATTTCTATTAGTCTTTTAAGTTTTAAACCAATTTTCGGGACAGAAAGCAGTTTAAATATGAAACAAATCTTTAAATGTGAATAATTCGGAAAGTAGTTTTCGAGTCCCTTGCGCGCTAACGCCCTTCTGCCACTATGGCGACGAATGTTGCTAGGCCAGTTTGGATTAGTCACGAAAGGAACACTAGTACACTGCATTAGCTGTAATCAGAGCTGCCAACCTCCAAAACAGAAAATCAGTAATTTCCTATGCTGCGCTATTAATCTTAAAAAATGGCACTACAACACTCCATGGCCGCCAAGAACGAAAATAAAATGCTGTAAAATTATTACCTAGCCTTTTTGGGGGGTGATTTTAGTCACACACTATTGCTAAACATTCGATTTTTAAGTCATCACAACACATCTCACGGAGATGGCGCTGCTCACATTTTTTCATTTTTTGTGTGTGTGTAGTCGTGTTTTCTGTAATTTTAGACAACATTCCATACTTTCGTAATGATTGTTAATTTTGGTACCAATTGTTTTTATCAAATTTGTACTCAACAACCTGAATATCATAGTATATATATATATGTTATTTGTTTGTATAATGTTTTCCTTTTCCGTTTTACTGTTTCTACCTGCTTTCTTTTTCTTCTTAATGTTATGTTAATTACGTACTTGTTTAGGGGTCAACGTTTAACAAGGCTAAATGCTCTTTTTTGTTGACCCCTCATTCGACATAAATTTTCTTTCTTAACTAGTTTCCTTGTTATTTTTATTGTATTCATATTATCTGTAATGTTACCCTTCTACATGTATTTATATATTTCTCTTTTTTTTTTAATACTCTGTATGTATTGTATATGTTTTTTATGAAGAATGAAATAAATACCATACCATACCATATTTCTGTGACATTTCTTGGACAACTATTGAATTCATGTACCTGCATGTTTACACTAATTCTGAGCGGTTGTCTTTTTCATTATGCTTTCATATTTTTGACAGATATCTCGGTACGATCACGTTTTTATTTAGGTTTGCAACAGCGATGAAGTATCGAAACTTATTGTGATTACTAAGCAAAGATATAAGGTTTTAAAAGAAACTCAAGGTATTTAGACTAAAAGACGTAAAAGCACTAAACAATGCCAAACATGGATGAAAATAGCTTCATATGAGATATATTCTGATATTAGCCTACCGGTAGGTATTCATGCTATGTATATTCAAAGGTATTTGGCTGCTACAATGAAATTTCAGCATAGTAATGGGAACATTTAGATCTAACAACAGAAGTAGATCTAGCAATTGTTTTCTGTTGTATCATTTTCACGTTAAAATAACATATATACATATGCAGCATATAACTATTATCGCTGTTTCTCTCTTTCAATGACCCTCGATGACATTAACATAAGGACACACATACCTGTATGGATGAGGCCTTTGCTTTCAATGCAGAGTAGAATGTGGTTATTGTACAGTTTTGGTAAATTCAAGTATCGAAATTAGAAACGGTTGGATATTGATTAGTGATCAAAATAATATTAATCTAATACACAATGGAATTTTGACTATCTATGCTCTTCTATAGTTTGCTTTCATTCCATATTTCATGACTATTTAGACATTTTGGGTAAATGGATTATAATTAAAAAAAAGTATTTGGAATTTAAAAAAGACATGTATACATAAACATCATATCATCAATACTACTCTTACTTTTTTCAATGACCCTTTCCATGGCATTTACATTAGGACACACAAACCTGTATGGATGAGGCCTTTGCTTTCAATGCAGAGTAGAACTCCTCAGTGAATGCCTCTCCAACGAGTGTAAGGTCAGTCAGGTTTGGCATAGAAGACAGTGCTTCTACTAGGTGATGTGATGAGGCTGGTTTGGGAAACTGGAGATCATCAAGCTTGAGAGTCTGGACCTGCATTGTTTGTGAATATAGTTAAACAGCACATATATACTTTTTATTTACTAATTTCTGACTGTATTCTTACATTTTACACAAATTCTATTAATTACATAGTTGTATCATAATAACATTCTCAACAAAAATGAATGAAGAAATTTTATTTTCAATTCAAGTCTATTCTCAGAACGAACACACTAAAGTTTCTATGAAGAGAATGATTTAGTATGAGTGATTTTTTCGAAATTATGTACGTATTCTCTGTAGCGCTTTCAAACTGTTTGTATCGATAAGTCCTACTCGTGATAACATCAAAATTAATAATACCCAGAAATATACCTTTGCTATCAATGTATTAAAGGTATTTGTAACTCGGGATTTCAGGTGAACAAGGTCCTAACTCAGGAGGATTGTTAGTACAGGTTGGTAAATTCAAGCCTTTATTAAATTTGACACTTAAAAAACTGTATGACCTATTTTTCATATCGATCAAACTTGGAAAAGGTTGGATATTGATTATTGATCAAAACAATGTAAATGTTACAAACTTGAATTTCAACTGAATCAGAACATGTGTAGATTGCTTTTATTTCATGTCTGTTCCAATATACCAAGTGAATGGCCTTTAAAAAGGGTGTTTGGAGAAAAAAACATAGATGTATATACTGTGCACCATATAACTATTACTACACTTACTTTTTTCAATGACCCTTTTCATGACATTTACATTAGGACACACACACCTGTATGGATGATGCCTTTGCTTTCAATGTAGAGAAGAACTCCTCAGTGAATGCCTCTCCAATGAGCTCCAGGTAAGTCAGGTTTGGCATAGAACACAGTGCTTCTGCTAGGTGCTGTGCTGAGGTTGGTGTGGGACACTGGTTTTTATGAAGCTTGAGAGTCTGTACCTGCATTGTTTGTCAATATAGTAAAGCAGGTAATCTATACATGCATTTGTTTTATTTACTAGAACTAATTTCTCATTGCATTCTTATATCTATCACCGAGGATATGTATAACACATCTGTATTCATATTAACATTCTTAACCTTAAGATAACTAAATAGATGTTTTTTTAAAATCAATTCTAGTATAACATTCAAGTTTCCATCAGTAGAATGATCAAGTTATATATTTTTTTATAAAATATCCTATATCTGTTTGCATTGATAAGTCATACTCTTAAAGGTAAAGACCAGTATTGGAAACGCCCCAATTTCAAAAAATGAAATGTAAGCTCTTATTATCAATCATGTGAAAGAATATGTTTTGACTAATACATGATGATAAAAATGTTGCCGGGAAACCGCCTACTAATTGATATATTTGGTAAATTAGTCTATCTACATCGTCTGTGAGAGATAAACGCACGTGTCGCGCACGTGTGCGTATAGTCCCATAAATATCTTTCTGTGTACAGTGCTTGTAACTTTACAAAGACTGGGCCATATTTCTTATCATTTTGATGATTCCAGAACCTTGCAGTACACACCAATACTTATATGCTAGATGATCAACCTTTTCTGATCGATTCCACAATGTTTCTTTCACAATGCAATCGCATGACCATAACTGGTCTTTACCTTTAACAACACTGAAATAAATAATACCCAGAAATCTGCATTTGTTATTCAAGGCATCGTTTAGGAACGTTAAATCTGAGATGCATGTTTCTACATTTCATCAGTGTCTGTGATATGGGGTAATATTTGAGCCCTAAAAAGAATTGTGCTTCAAAATGATCATGAAGTGTCTCAAAAAAGTAAAAATCATAGAGAGACTGGTTTTCCCCGATAGACTGTAGTGTTATGGAAACCGTCAAATTTTATTTAGATTTCCAATCATACATATCTTGATAATCAGACAAGCGATCAGCTTGTAAAAGTGATGGGGTTCCTGACTGACCTAAAGGTTTATAATTATAATTGCAGCATGGCTAAATCTAGGATTTTGTTTCAGAATCTGAGACAAAGTTACCCAACCCCTTTAACGTAGTGAAGGTATTCATAACTCTGGTTTCATGTGCACAAAAAAGCTTATTGTACAGTTTTGGTAAATTCAAGCCTTTATCTAAATTGGAAAGGGTTGGATATTGATTAGTGATCAAAATAATATTAATCTCATACACACTGAAATTTCAACTAAATATGCTCTTCTATAGTTTGCTTTCATTCAATAATTCATGACCATTTCAACATTTTTGGTAAATGGATTTTGAAAAAAACAAAAAGGTATTGGGATAAAAGAGAGACATGTATACATGAACATCATATCATCAATACTACTTTCTATTTCCAATGACCCTTTCCATGACATTTACATTAGGACAAACATACTTGTATGGATGATGCCTTTGCTTTCAATGTAGAGAAGAACTCCTCAGTGAATGCCTCTCCAGCGAGTGCCAGGTAAGTCAGGTTTGGCATAGAACACAGTGCTTCTACTAGGTGATGTGATGAGGCTGGTGTGCGACACTTGATTATACAAAGCAAGAGAGTCTGGACCTGCATTGTTTGTCAATATAGTAAAGCAGGTAATCTATACATGCATTTGTTTTATTTACTAGAACTAATTTCTCATTGCATTCTTATATCTATCACCGAGGATATGTATAACACATCTGTATTCATATTAACATTCTTAACCTTAAGATAACTAAATAGATGTTTTTTTTAAAATCAATTCTAGTATAACATTCAAGTTTCCATCAGTAGAATGATCAAGTTATATATTTTTTAAATAAAATATCCTATATCTGTTTGCATTGATAAATCATACTCTTAAAGGTAAAGACCAGTATTGGAAACGCCCCAATTTCAAAAAATGAAATGTAAGCTCTTATTATCAATCATGTGAAAGAATATGTTTTGACTAATACATGATGATAAAAATGTTGCCGGGAAACCGCCAACTAATTGATATATTTGATAAATTAGTCTATCTACATCGTCTGTGAGAGATAAACGACGTGTCGCGCACGTGTGCGTATAGTCCCATAAATATCTTTCTGTGTACAGTGCTTGTAACTTTACAAAGACTGGGCCATATTTCTTATCATTTTGATGATTCCAGAACCTTGCAGTACACACCAATACTTATATGCTAGATGATCAACCTTTTCTGATCGATTCCACAATGTTTCTTTCACAATGCAATCGCATGACCATAACTGGTCTTTACCTCTAACAACACTGAAATAAATAATACCCAGAAATCTGCATTTGTTATTCAAGGCATCGTTTAGGAACGTTAAATCTGAGATGCATGTTTCTACATTTCATCAGTGTCTGTGATATGGTGTAATATTGAAGCCCTAAAAAGAATTGTGCTTCAAAATGATCATGAAGTGTCTCAAAAAAGTAAAAATCATAGAGAGACTGGTTTTCCCCGATAGACTGTAGTGTTATGGAAACCGTCAAATTTTATTTAGATTTCCAATCATACATATCTTGATAATCAGACAAGCGATCAGCTTGTAAAAGTGATGGGGTTCCTGACTGACCTAAAGGTTTATAATTATAATTGCAGCATGCGCTAAATCTAGGATTTTGTTTCAGAATCTGAGACAAAGTTACCCAACCCCTTTAACGTAGTGAAGGTATTCATAACTCTGGTTTCATGTGCACAAAAAAGCTTATTGTACAGTTTTGGTAAATTCAAGCCTTTATCTAAATTGGAAAGGGTTGGATATTGATTAGTGATCAAAATAATATTAATCTCATACACACTGAAATTTCAACTAAATATGCTCTTCTACAGTTTGCTTTCATTCAATATTTCATGACTATTTCAACATTTCATGACTATTTCAACATTTTTGGTAAATGGATTTTAAAAAACAAAAAGGTATTTGGAATAAAAAAAGACATGTGTACATGTACATCATATATCTATCACCTACGGTATGTATAACACACCTGTATTTATATTCACATTCTTAACAGAAACAATTAAATAAATAAATAAATTTATTTTTAAAAAAACATCAAAAGGAATATTTAAGTGGTCTTCTTCTTCTGGAGTTGCTATGGTCAGTGCTTCCAGATCTTCTTTGGTGCAATGGTCTTTGTGTTCATTAATATTCCACATGTAATCTTTAAAGCCCCACTGTCCTACTTGTAGCTTCTTGCTCCCTCTATATAGAAAACTTCCCCAATCGGTGGCTGTTGGTCCCCCATGATCCTCTTTTTCCTATGTTAGTTGAGAGCTGAGTTAATGAGATAGCCACATGTCAGTGACCTCGCTGTGTGGTCTAATCCATTCTGGCCCAGTAGTGTTGACTGTCTTTAAGGAGAATAAAACCCAACAAATTCTAAGTGATAGCCTTACTAAAACAAATTAGAGCCGGTCAAAAATATCTTGAAATTACTCCTATTTGATTTAGTAAGGAAAAAAAATATCTCCATATTTTGCAGTTTCCTTGCTGGCCATTCTCGCATGAGAGTTGCCATTTGGATTAAAATAGTGATGTCATAAAAGTACAACTTGTGAGATACCCAATGTAGGACACTCACATGCGAAATACATGACAATGGTTTCCTAAAAATTGACTTTTTTTGTAATGCATTCAAATAAATGGATCAAATTTTCATTGTGAACAGTGGTCTACGAGAGTGTAGGCCTATGGAGCCTATGGCAAACAATAGCTCTTTACAAATTTGTATCAAGGCCTACAAGTTGTGAAGTTTGGAGAGCATAATTGCCTATTTATACCATGATGGGATGGTTGTTAGTTTCTTGTCTTTCCTCTCCTCTTAAAAATGCATATCATGTGCAGATCCTCCCCCCCCCCCCCACCTTCCCCTGGTTGTACTCAAAACTGTGTAGAAAGACCTACACCATTAAACCGAGCACCACCGCCATCATTTTGTTCTATCTATAGACCAAGGTTTCCTTAGTTTGCTCAGGAAAATGCAAATTTAATATTATTAAGTTGTTTGACAGCATCACTCAGTCCGATCTCATTAAAGAAACATTGTTTCTAAAGACTGAGGCTTCCTTGGTTTCTTTGGGAAAATGAAAAACTAATTATGTTTAGTTGTTTGATATATCATCACACAGTCTGATTGTATGTAAATGATATCTCTAGATAATAGTTTTAGTGTCAATGCGATAAAGGGAATTTAATCATGAAGCTAGCTAGATTAACCAAAATTGTCCGTTCAGAAATAATTTGACAGCTAGGTAGACAATCGTGTTAGCATCCAAGAAAGGGGTTCTAGCTAGGACATCTCTTAAAGTACGTCTCTGCTCACTGATGTAAAAGTTTGCTCTCCAAATAGTATTCTTTCAAAATACTTTGTTAATCAAATTGGAACCTCTATGTGTGAGTCTAAATCAAATTCTTACTGATATTTAGACTGACTACAGTGTGAGTCAAAAAAAAGTTTACACCTAGAAAATTGCTAATTATTAAAAAAAAAATCATCTATGAACAGTAAATTATTATACATCTTATGAAAGAGTATTTTTTCCCAAATCATTTAGTATCATTTTGTGTGGTATGTGTTCACGCTTGGATGAACAGAAGGCATTGTTTGCGAGAGTGCAAAAATCGACTTGCGCCAAAGTTGCTTATGTGATGTTTAAATAAAACAATTGGGATTTGGGTATTAAATCGGTTTTTGCAGATCCAAATAACATCCCTCACAAAATTAATCATGCCACACATATCAAATATCGAATATCAAATATCAACGAACATTGTGTGCGCGTGTGTGCGTATGTGTGACTTTGTTTCTGTAAAAAGAGTATGCAATGCATTTCATTTGATACATTCAATTCATTCTCTCACTCCGCCAATCCCAACATGTACATACTGTAGGCATCACTTTGGCGCAAGTCGATTGTGCACTCTTGCAAACAATGCCTCCTCTTCATCGAAGCGTGAACACATACTACACAAAAA